AAATCCAGTACTCCAACGTTTAATTCTTCACCGAAAACAGCACACACCAACTCGATAGACATAGGTGAGCATGATGCTGAAACTCCTCTTAGCATAGGGTCGTCATGTCAAACAGTACTACTGGGTGCTGAACCATATTCGGGGCTGATTGACGGACTTAAATACTTCAAATGCTATTTCAAATCTCATCTTTACCTGATCCTCATAAATGCTAGATCTGTTCTAAATAAACTACCGATGCTCAGAGCACTCACAGTAATATACAAACCCCCTATAATTGTCATCACTGAATCTTGGTGTAATTCGAACATGCTGGATGAAGAGATAAGCCTAGATAACTACACACACTTTCGGTGTGACAGGGAAGGTGGAAAGGGAGGGGGTTGTCTCATGTACTTTCTGAATGCACTTACTGTATCACAGCTAGAAAATAGTACATTTAACATGCCTGGGACTCTATGGGTTAACTTACACTTAAATGATGCAATAGTATTAATTGGATGCACCAACAGAGCACCTGGCACCTTTAGTAATTACGAGACCCAACTTTTTAATACTCTGGAGCAATTATCCACCTTACAATACGATCATAAGATCCTATGTGGAGACTTTAACTTACCTGAAATCAACTGGGATATACCCACAGGCCCAACTAAATTTGATAAATTCTTAGGCACACTGGACATGCTTGACTGGAAACAAACTGTCACTACCCCTACACGAGGTAATAGCGTACTAGACTTAATCTTCTGTCACGATATAAGTCCCCTCTCAATCTTAGTGGGTTCTAATTTTTCAGGTAGTGACCACAATACAGTGATCTGTACAGTGCCACTTCCACTGAGTAGCAATACAGCTTGTACCTCCACTTCACAACAAATAACATATAGGAACTTTAGTAAGGCAAACTGGGCTTTCGTAGAATCAGTGCTAAGATCCTCTCACTACTGATGACCTCTCGAGAGCTCTGAGCATCTTCTACCATAACTCAAACATATGCTTAGATGCTGCCACTCCACTCCAGACACTGAAGGTTACTCTAAATTGAAAGTCATTTATAAAAGCAAGGCATAGTGCGAAATTGGAGAGACTCTCGACAAGTTACTTCAAACACCACGACTTTGGCACATTAGGTTTATTGATTAACGCTATTAGCTCCATCTCACAAGCTCGAGATCTGCGTATGAAAAACGAAGAAGGCACCGCACTAGTCAGCACTTCTAGGGTGTATGCTCTCACAGATATCCTAAAGAAGTGATTCAGTTGCAAGAATCACCGCATTTTTCTCCTCATGGACAAGGGTGGGCTATGCACTAATTCTGCAGACATGTGTGAATTACTCAACAAAACTTTTGCAGGTAACTACCTTAAGCCTACAGTCCCGTTACACAGCATACACCCTGCTACTAATATGGCACAACTTCCGTGTCTCCCCACACAAAAACAAATTGGTACCGTTGAACTCACTTATGCTAACTTTAACCAAACTATAAGAACTCTCAAAATCCCAAAAGGTTCTGGTACTGAATGTATATCATCCTATTTTTATAAATATGGTGGCCATGGCATTCTTTACTACTGCTTAAGATCTTCACAATGCCCTTAGAAACCCAAACTTTCCCGTGTATATGGAAAACAACATTTACTATACCTAAACACCAACGTGGCTCGAAAACGGAAGTCAAAAACTACAGGCCAATCATTATCACACATTTAGCATCCAGGATTATGGGGAGACTAGTTAAAGATAACCTACTCAAACTTATGCTTAGCTGCAACATTGTAAGTCCGAACCAACATGGATTCCTAAAATCCAGATCATGTTTAACATGCCACCTAGACTTCTATAATTTTGTGACCAGTGGTCGTGGCAGACGACAACTAGTACTTGCCATCTACTCTGACATCTCTGAGGCATTTGACCGTGTCGACCATTTACTGCTAATATATTAGCTGAACTCCTTAGGAAAACGTTACCCACTATTAGGATGGCTTAAATCATTCCTTAACAACGGGTCCTACAAAGTCAAACTTGGGTCTGTAACTTTCAAACCTAGCCCGATCACTTCTGGTGTAGTACAAGGTAGTGTCATTTGGCCACTCCTATTTACACTTTACATCGACGACATGTGCGCTTACTTCTCACATAAGAGACCATTCACCTTTGGAGATGACCTAAAAGTAGCTTACGCATTCCAGAGTGATGACCTAGGGTACTTCCAGAATGTTTTACAGAATAAATTAGATAAAGTGACTGCTCGGTCGTCTTTTGGGGATCTACAGTTCAGTTTGAACAAATGTGGTTGGATCCGCTTCGATGCACCCTCCATCGACATGAAATTAACGCTTCAGTCTGCTAACTTAACCAGACTCCGAAGTGTCGTTGACTTATGCCTGAGGTACTCTAGCGACCTATATATATTACCATTATTATGTATAGGATATACATGTACATACATGTATATAAATATGAATAACAATAATAATAGCTTAAGGAAGGTAATGGTTGGAGTAGTCAGGAGAGTAAGAAAAGAGCAAATGTGAAGAAGTAAAACGATGATGCCGTTTGGACTTATTCCTTATGTCGCTGCATGATAGTCCAGCCTTCGCTTAAAGCTGTCCACTGACAGCGCCGTAGCTACACCTGCCGGTAAGGAGTTCCTGGGTGGCGAACCCGCAGTGCAAAAAGTGAGAGTACGCCCCGAATCCTTGCCCTCTGGTGAGCTATCCTTCTGGGATTTCTACGAGGAGGATCATGCTTACTTAATGGCAGAACACCACTTTTGGGCCATCCTGGTCATTTGTTATCTTATAAGCAGTATTCAAGTCCCCCTTAGCAGACGGTAGCTAAGTGTGAAAAGACCTAATTTCTTTAGACGCTCATCATACGGTTGGTCTCGGGGTCCCATCACCCTTTTTGTTGCCTCTCCTTGGACTCTTTCTAAAAGGTTCGCGTTTTTTTCAAGCAGCGGGGGCGCAATGATATTATGCACTTCAAGGAGTGGTGCGACGTATGTTTTGTACAACCTTATAAAAGCTCAGGAGTGAGGGCTATGTCTAACTGTCTATGTGTAGAGCGTATGACCGCATATGTACTCGCTACATCCCACGTGTGATTCACGCTTGTGTCCATTTTTTCCGTTAGAACCAGACCTAAGTCACGATCCAACGTTGTGCAGGACAAGCTCTCGTTCCACAGGGTGCAACTTGCATTTTGCAACATACAGGTGAGTAACTACATTACTTTGCACTTTTTCAGGTTGAAAGTCATACTGTTGGCCACCGCCAGTCTTCCAGAAGCTTTAGGTCTGCCTACAGCCTATCTGAGTCTTCCGAACACTTTATTGCCCCCCCCAAATCTTTACGTCATCAGCGTATAGAAGAGTTAGGTAACCTAGACTGCATGGTAGGTCATTGATAAAAGTCAAAAACATGAGTGGTCCCAGGATAGAACCCTGCGACATTCCTGATGACGAGCTGCTCCAAGATAATCGGACTTGACTGACCTTAGTGCAAAACTTCGTTTCAGCTAGGTAGTTCTCCAACCATTACAGAAGAGTCTCACCTATACCTAGCTGACTATTTTGTGTAGGTGCAGGTCATGGTGAACTGTGTCAAATGCCTCCCCAAAGTCTAGGAAGACCGCGTGGAATGGAACATTCATATCCCAGCGTGATGTCCAATCATCCCAAGCTGATAGATTTGTTTCATAGGATCTGCCTTTCCTAATACCGTATTGGGCTTCACGGAGTCTATTATCCCTCTTGAGGTCTAACTGATGTGATCATCAACAATACTTTTTCTAGGACTTTTGATACCACTGGGATTAGCGCTACTGGTTTGTAACTAGTGGTATTTTGCCTGTCCCCAACAAAACAATTCGAACAATGGTGTTAACATGGGCAGTAATTCTGATTCAAATATTACCAATAACAAAACTTACCATTGTGTGCAAACCAATGAAATATAATTATACCATATTTGATCTATTCCACAATGCTCAAACATTTTACTGATATTAATTGAAATAAGGAGAAAGGATAGCTGTATTCCTCTCCATTGGCAGTTTCCCCTAATCCGTCGAGTGTTGTAACAAGTCGCATCAGGGCCTACAGAAGGCTTCAGGTCACCGTTTCAGAACAGATGGCCTGATGTCGATACAGCCTTAGGACTTTCCAGATGTGAGTCTCTGTAGCTTCCCTGGTACTATTGCCGGGTTTTTCAGGAGTGTAGGCACTACGTTTTCCTCCGTGAAGTTGTAGTGCCACCAGACCAGTAATACCCACATTGCTGTTTGGCGAGGGCTAAACTTAATGTTTCAGCCATTTCCAGACTAGTGAGATATTGACTGTTTGGACCTACTGAGGCGCACGCCCCCTGATTGGTTTGATCTCGGTACATTCATTTGGGGTTCACCATGATATTTTTGAAGAGTTTAGCCTGAAATGACCTGTCACTCCTGACTCTTATGTTGCACCATTTCGAGTTCAAGGAATGAGTCGTGGCTGGTTTGACTCTTAGGTATATGCCACGTAGATCAAGCCTTCCGCTTCGCTCGCAGAATACGCTGAGTGCCTCTCTTCAACCATGAGAACGTTCGTTTCGGCTGCGGTGTGACTAAAGGGACGGTATCCGAGACTGCTGTGTCGATGATCTCTTTTACCACTTCCCAGTGTTCATCCACAGATAACTCAGTCCATTCTGCTTTGTACAAAAACCTCCACATTTCAGCATAGCACGCCTTGTTATAGCACATACATGGTCGCGTAGTGCCCCACTGTAGGCGCTCACAGAGAACAAGATCAAACCCCGTGACTTCGTGGTCACTACTCCCCAGGGTGTTCATGATTTGGATATTTTCTACGAGTAGCTGACCACATACCGATCTGGCGATTAACAAGATAATTTTATGAACCGAGAAAGGAACGTGGAGGGAAAATACATTATATTTTACTCTGAATCTGCAAGCAGAACTTTAAAAGTAACAGCTTATTGGCGTGGTACAAATGAAAACAAATTCTCAGTGAAATTCAAAACCCTTTTATTTAAGTGTTAGGTATTTTAGAGTATTTTTGAAATACACTTCGAAATGACCAATTGAAGTTATACTCAATTTTATAAAGAAATATACAAAAGGTGGTCGACGCGTAGTTCGCCCAGGACACAAGCGATAATATGAAGTCAAAATAAAATCAAGGGATTAAATACACAATAGAGCTAAGTAAATAGGAGAAGGATCTTTTTTACAGAAATCATGCTTCTGACGACACACGTGGAGTCTTCTCCGTCAGGGCACGGGCAGGTAGGAGAAGGGCTGAATATCTCAAATTCTGAAATGGTAAAACGGTAAATGTATTAATGTAATAACGAAATTAGGAAGTAAATATGAAAAGGAATTTTGCTTTTTTCCGTGTAGTTGTGTTCATTGAGCTGGGTGGTTTATTTCCGAAGCTTCAATTGCCCTACTAGTTTACGCCGTCCCTGGCGTAGAAGGGATATCTGGCTATCGACCAAAGGGCGTGTGAACTGCTCAGCAGTTTGCTCTGTCCTGCTTTATGGCTGTGAGCGAGACATCGCCATTGAAAGAAGGTGTGAAAAGACTAACTAGCTGTCTTTGACCATAGCTGTCCGCGTTCTAACCCCCGTGTGAAGCGATATAATAGGGTTAACACCATTGAGGTTCTACGTTGAAAACATTCAGTCAGTCATCGCCTTACTAAGCAACATCTTCAGTGCATACTTCAATTTGCAGTGAGCTTTTAGATTTCTCCACGAGTTTATAAGTCATCTCTTTTGATAGTTGACCTTGAATGTGTGTTTTGTGTATTTTCAGACCCTCTAGACTACTTCTGTTGGTGCTGATTGCTTCCTTGACCTCAAGTTTGACCCTTTGTGTATGAGGTTTCTTTCTTATATATTGATAAATCTTGTCCATGTCAGTGTGTCTATTAACTGGCGATTCACTGGAATATCAGGCTTCTAAAATTCCTCTAGCATTCTTGGTGTTTCCCCTGACGAACTGAAATCCATGGTTGTCTGTATGCAGCGATATGAGGGAGTGAATGTCATGTCTTTTAATTGCTAGTTTATGTTCATGGATGCGAAGACGAAGAGGACGTCCACTTTGCTCAGTGTAGTTTTTTTCACAGTCGTTACAATTTATTTTGTAGATGATGTTGGTTTTCTCTTCTTCCGCTGTTGACACAAGGCCGAGTTAATTGACTTTGTTGGTTTGTGTGCAACATCGATTTCTAAAGGTTTGAAGAGTCTTGCAGTGATTTCTGAGATGTCCTTTTTATAGGGTAGGGTGATTTTCTTTGTGCCTCCCTTGGGGGCCTTTGATTTGGTAGGTTGGCTTGGGGGTAGATGTCTTCTAATGAAGTTCCATGGATATCCATTCTTTTGGAAGACGTCCATGAGGGTGTGGAAACACACAAAGGTAGCCAATCGCGCCCGAGGTCACCCAATAGGAGAGATGACTTATAAACTCGTGGAGAAATCCTAAAGCTCACTTCAACAAATTGAAGTGTGTGCTGAAGATGTTGTCTAGTAGGGCAGTGTAAGCTTCTCGAATAAACCACACAGCTCAGCGAACACAAATACCTAAATCTTCTCCATTATAAAGAAATTTTGTAGCATTCTGCCAATGTCTTCTGCACGTACTTGTCCTCACGCCGATGACACTGGCTGGTGGCCCCATGTAGTGATTCCCGTCCGAATGGTCTTAGTATTTCCTAGCCATTATTTCAGAAATATTATTTATATACGGTAGGGTAAATATTCACCATTAACCATTCCATAGCATTCAAAAAACTGCCATCAAAAATTAACTCACTGATTTACGCACAGATCGTAGGAAACCAGCATTTGATGTAATTGTAAGCGCCTCCAGTGTATTACCAACTTCCATTATACGCTAAATTATAAGAACAGAAACAAACAAAATAAGCGTTAAATGATAAGGTAATCATGTCAGCTTTATGCACAATATTAAGAACCTGGAAACAATCTTATTGGACAATTCTCCGTCCCTCTGTTCAACCTTGGACCAATCGCCAACCAATGAGAACAGTTCATTGTCCGCCCGCTGTCTTAGCAGACGTTTAATGTAGCTAAAAATGTATAAACATGATGCTTTTCCTCAATAATATAGTCCATTACCAGTCCTCCTATCTTCTACCGTTACAGTTGGACAGCATATCAACCAGTACTGTTTGCTAACCGGCCAGATCGAAGTGATCTAAAACACCGGACGGCAGTTTCCCTCGTTTGGAGTAGAGATCCAGGTACACCACTGATAAGCTCGGCTTCAAACTGTATGAATCGCGAATTGGAAACATGCACGACAGGCAGTTATACAAACGAGTTGTTCAGGTCAATCTTGATGCAGCAAGGCTAGAATAGTTGATTAAAGCAGAATCAAGTTGAAAAATCACGGTAGAAACTTATCCATTAACAACGCAGCTTAATATTTATTGGTTTGAATTTTCTGGCAGCGAAGACGATGATGTCAAAGGAAGGATTAGTAAAGCAAGACAGACTTTCATTACTCAGAGATTAGTGTGTGAATCTACTGCACTCAACATAAAGAACAAGATAACGATTTTCGACACTGATAGCAAGTCAGTGCTTCTATATGGTTCAGACACACTTAGAGAGTGTGTCACTTCAAGCATTTCCAACAGACTACGACTGACGCCTTTAGTCAATACTAAAGATAAGATAGCATGCCAGAGAGGATTGACAACTAGGATCTCTAGCAACCGACCAACCAAGAACCTACCGCCCAACAAATATGCGGAAAGGAACAGAGATGGATTGGACATACCCTGTCGAGGTATACCAGTGAAGTCACGCGGAATCCGAGTGGGAGACGACGAGTTGAGCGTCCGAGGGTAACATGGTGATTATGTGAAAAGAGAATAATGGGCTTATGGGTGACGGTAGAGCTACCTGAACACTACTTCACAGGACACGGTGAAATGGAGATGTGCTGCCGAAGTCCTATGTTCCACTAGGAATGCAAGGGAATAATAATCAGAACCTAAAAAGTTATGACTTTTAGATATGGTGGGGAACATTTGCAGCTCAGGTGGATGACATTGTTATATATTTGCTTTATGTAAGCTGGAAGATTTAGTTGTGAAGCTTTTATTGTCTTCAGCGTAGACTCATAAATAAAGTGAGGTTTTAAGGAAATCACATGGAAAAAAATTCAACAAAATAACCAATACTAACGCACGTGAACTAAGGAGTGAGAGAGAGTATTTACAGATGCTCAATCACTTCCCAGGTAACCGGGAGAGATGGCTGATAAACTCATGCAGAATTCAAAAAACTCATTTTTAAACTGAAGTATACGCTGAAGATGTTATCTGGAAACACAATTGTAAAAAAAAACAGATTGACCGAAGAAATATGCAGTTCTTTTCAATTAGTTCCTCATCATCGGCTGGCTCTACACTAATATATAGTTTCTTACATCAAAATTTTTTTACCAGTCAAGTGGTTATATTAGTTAATCAATTTTAGGTATATGCGGGGGTAAAATCAAGAGGTTAAAGGTTATCAAAACAAATAACTAATAGATGTTAGCAACAAGATATCTAAGTTTGAAAAGACGGGTGAAAACTGATTAATTACGGAATTCAAGATAAGTTGATCCTTAGGCGTTGGGTTAGCAACAAGTTATTACATAATCAAAAAATTTTCAAAATAGCATTGATGACTAAGAAGAATAGGATGACTCAGAAGAGGCAGGTAAAATACAAACAAGTTAATAGAATTAGTTAGAATTGTAAAAATTAACAAAGTCAAAAGATAGTTACAAGGGGAGGGGAAAAATTTGTTTTTAAAAACTTAATACATATTATGGCAAAGAAAGGAACTGTACAAATTTCTTTTGAAAACATAGATTTCGTTTGTTCAGATGAATTCCGATTGTCTCTGCTGTATGTAAAAGTCGTACTCGTAGAACATGCGGCGAGAGGTTGAATGATATACGATATATAACTTTATAAGCTTTGTTAGAGTCGACTTGATGTCCAGTATCAACGAGATGAGCTAGTATTGAGCTGCGTATACCTTTATTCGGAGCTTTACCAAACCAAGATGGGAGGTGTTCAGAAACTCGACGATGAACTTGCCTGATCGTACGCCCTATGTAACTAGCTGCGTGCGGGCAGTTAAACTGGTAAATACACATGGAAGAGGCGAAACAGGGCTTCGTAACTAAACCATCCCAGCTTCGATAACATAACTACAGCGGTCATGACATTATATATTACAAATATTTACACAAACAAACATAAACGTGACATTTTTACATCAACCTTTGTGCAAATCCAGTTGGAATCGAAAAATCCACAATGCGCCGTACAAAGTATGCTTTCCAAGTGGAACACAAAGCTGCAGGTTTGAAACTTTGAAGTCACAGTAACCGTTTTCACAGGGCAAGGGGTTCCTAGCCTCTCATACCCCGCACTTTCCAAACTTATTGTCACCTTTTAAACTAGTCGAGGTTTAGACGGAATGCGTCAGTCGGGAATCAGACCCCTGACCAGGTCCGGTGTGGCTGGTAAGCATTCTGACACTAGACTGACCACCGACGCACAATACACTGTCTATTATAAACGAATATGGAATATGTAAAATGCTTACCTGTGTTAATAAATAATTATTAGTATTTCTAGATTCTTTTGGTTTTCCAAATGGAGGTATAACTTTACCACAAGCATCTAAATCTGGTATTACAACTAGTCGACTAATCAACTGGATTGCACGTTTCCATTCACCTGGTCCCGAGATTAATGCAACAATATTTAAAAAGGAATGTACAGCACTGAGACAAACAATTGGAACTTTACCTTTAGACAAAAAAAAAGGATAAACAGAACAAAAATTAAAATAAAAAGATGACATCTATATAAAACACAAAATAATCGAGCAAAGAAGAATATTCTTTTCGATAAATTCCTCTTCCAGGCTCTACAATTATATGTCTGTTTATATACACAGAATATTCTAGATTAGTAGTTAATAACAACATTAGTGTTTTTTAAATAATATGGATTTGTAAAGTATGATCAATGCAATTACAGTTCTCGTCGAATTTCCGAACATCACCCTGCATAGTGGTTGAGCAAAGGATAAACAAAATCTATTCGCAGCGCTATTCTGTCTCATCTTCTGGATACAGAACACAAGATTGACGTTAATCATGCTTTCAAGGTAATTTACCGCATACCTACGAACCTCAATTCTGCCTTAAGAGTTCGACTACTAAATATTGCTGAGGCTGTGGGAATTCATATTAATAAGCCTAATTTATGCATCCAAAAGAAGTTAGTTCAGACGTTATCATTACCTTGGCCATCCAGGTTTGAATAATGCAGAATTTTTGTGAAATTTCCCTAATTTTGGTTGATATTCTATTCGCTATTATATATTTATTATTATCATTATAATTTAAGCATCTTTAATGAACTGCAATAGCATTGATCATATATTTACAAATCGATATTATTTAAAAAAACGCTAATATTGTTATTAACTACTAATCTAGAATATTCTGTGTATATAAACATACATATAATTGTAGAGCCGGGAGAGGAATTTATCGAAAAGAATATTCTTTGCTCGATTATTTTGTGTTTTATAGATGTCTGAATGAATATTTTTGCTATATTGACATCAATATAGTTAAAATTCCCATTCAGACATTTACAAGACAAAGGAAAGTTCGAGTAAAGAATATTCTTTTCGATATATTCCTTGTTCGGTTCAACAGTTATATATATAGACACATATATATATAAGCATTCAAAATACAATACTAAATAGAATATCATATAAAATTAAAAAGAAAAAGTATGCAACAAATTAAAGACATTTCATGCATCTGGTTCCCTTTATTAGTTTTAAAAAAGAAAGAACATATTTGCAGACAGGATAATATGAACTCGTTTTATTTTGTGGATTCCCTCTCTTCAACTGCCTACATCCCAAATAAATCAATTCATAAGTTACAAAATGGTGTCTGAGCATACTTTCTCCACAACTATTTCAAGTTATAGATGGCTGGCTGGATTCAACATAGAACTTGGCACCGAAGTGCAGCAGTTCGAGTTGCCACGTTCCAAATAGCACACAAAGGTCGACAAGAAGATGAAAGTGGAGAGAATCAATAGAGTTTTGACAAGTATAAGAGTGAAACAGAATGAGTAATGGTAGAAAGGAATATGAAAGATTACAGAGACTGAATACATCTGCGTAAGCCATTGACAACGATGAGTTTGAGCCATGTCACCTATTGTCTCCAGCCATTGATTGGTTCTTAGAGTCCCGAGAGCCCCAACCCGGAAGTCTGCCTTTCCCTACCTGACTCAGTTTAACTGTCAGGGATTTCATGGATTGATACCATGTTTTTGTTTAGCCACCACTTACTCTTTTCCAACCTGCACCTATATCAGCTGGTAATGCCCGTCGGAGGAGGTGATGGTTAGGCATGCGCAGCACGTGACCTAGCCATCTCAATCTATGTAACTTTATACCCTCGTCGATCGATTTTCCCTCTTTGCCCAACACTCTACGCCTAACGTCAACACTACTTACCGTATTATGCCACCTAACGTGAGAAAGAGAATGTAGACATCTATGATCAAAAACAGTCAACCTTCTCATGTCTTCAACTCGCATTGGTCATATTTCAGAGCCATAGAGAAGGACGGAGCGAACTGCTGAGCAGTACACACGTCCCTTGGTTGATAGTCGGATGTGACACCTACGCCAGAAACGGTGTAAGTTAGCGAAAGCAGCCCGAGCTTTTTGGATCCGTGCTGAGATTTCGTCACCAATCAATCCGCTGGTGCTGACACAACTTCCCAAATAGGTGAAGTGGTCAACATGTTCCATCACTTCACTCCCTATCACTAAGCTAGGAGTTGACGTAGTCCAGTCAGTCCTGTAGCAGCATCTTACATTTTACAGGGGTGAATCGCATGCCAAACATACGAATATTGCTGCTCAAGGTGTTCAGAAGACTCTGCATTTTGTCAGCATCCTCCGCTAACAGGACTATGTCATCTGCATATTCTAAGTCCATAAGACTATTCCCTGGTAACAAGTCGATTCCTAAATCGTTAAGTTCAGTTAAGTTATAGATAGAGATAGAGAGTATGAGCAACATAATTTCAAAGATGATGTAATTAGACAATTATTCAGTATTAAAATAGAATAACTATTTATATAGTAATTAGACCAGTGGGTAGAGTTCAGATTTTGCTTCTATTTTAATACTGAATAATTGTCTACTTACATCATCTTTGAAATTATGTTGCTTATACTCTCTATCTATAACTTGAAATCATTGTAAAATGTATGTTCAGACACCATTTTGTAACATATAATTAATTTATTGAGGGTGTTGGCAGTTGAAGAGAAAGAATCCACCAAATATAACGAGTTCGTATTATCCTGTCTGCAAATATGTTGGTTCTTTCTTTATTCAAACTAAGGACAGTTAAAACACTGATAGTCAAGGTAAGGAAAGCGTCTGGACTAGCTTCTTCTGAAACACATAAGTTAGATATCTTAATCTGGATTGTGATTTCTTCAGCAATATGTAACAGACAAAATTCTTGAAGCAAAATTAAAATTAGTCGGAAAATGGTAGATAACTTAGAAAGTATTTGGTTCACCGACCAGGAGTAATCTGCTCTGATGCATGTCTTAATAAAGATCTCACTATTATTAAGCAATTACTGAGTGAAAATCGTTATTACCCAGAGAATTTTATTGACAACAACATAAATCTGAAGTAACGGGAAGCTAAAGTATCAACAGTTTCGAAAAAGACCTTGTTCTTATACCTTCATTTTGTCGGCAATATAACCGGTGACATAATAACATAACGCTTAAGTAGTGCGATAAAAAGAGCACTCAATACGGATGAAAAACGCTGTCTCTTAACGACCGCTCCTATTTTACGCTCAGCAGTTAAATGTAAAGTGTCTAATTTCGCCTTTTCTGTGAGTACCTATCAATTTGACTGCTCATAGGGAACCAGTTAAACTGGGCGTACAATTAGGCGTGTCTGTCGTCGGATTTCCGAACAACATCTCGCGAGGTTAAGCAAGAGATACACAAGGTTTATCTGTATCCCTATTCTATCACATCTCGTGGATAAAGAACACTGAATAGATGTTGGCAAGACTTTCAGAATTATTTACCGTATTCTGATTAATTTTAATTTTACCTCAAGAGTTTGTCTGTTGAATATTTTTGAAGACGTCAGAATCCACAATAAGATGTTTGACTTATGTTATTAAATGGTTGGAGGCAATCAGCAGGAAGCCTTGCCTGACCTAGGTTTCGTGCAAGTTGGCACTCACCAGTCAGCAAGACGTATCTGCAATCCCGAAGGAACTCTGGTTCCTTCTGAGATTCGAATCCGTGTCACCCAGTGCAGCAGTCAGAGACGATACCACTGAGCTATTCGGGCTCGCGGCTGAGCTACTGTAGGACTGACTGACAGAATTCAGTCTGCACCAAAGAAGGGACTAGACACATCACACTAGTTACTAGCTAGTGTCCAATCAACGTGTTCAGTACAGTCCTACAAGAGGTCAATCGCGAGCCCGATTAGCTCAGTGGTAACGTTTCTGACTGCAGCACTGGGTGACACGGGTTCGAATCTCAGAAGGAACATGAGTTCCTTTAGGGTTACAGATACATCTCACTGACGAGTGCCAACTTGCATGACACCTAGGTCCCAGACTTTCTACCAATTCCCTCCAACCATCTAATATCCTCAAAGCAATGTGTACCGTGATGGCGAGCTACCCAGAATGGTGGCCACATTGCAAACGTGACTGACAGAACTCAGTCTGCACCAAAGAAAGGACTAGTCACATCACAATTGTTACTAGGGTCTAATCAAAGCCTAATTTATTTACCCAGAGAAGAAGTTGGTTCAGATGTTTTCCTTACCTACGCCATTAATGTTATAACTACCCTTATAACTTGTTGCATAAATTTTCTTCCTGTTATTTGATGCTCTTAATATTGATGTTAAAGGCAAGACAAACCTTCATTGCTCTAAAAATCCGTGTGGAGATCAACAGAACTCAACAAAAAGGAACCAGATTCAAATATTTTCAACACTAATGCCAAAATCATCAGTGCTTCCAAGTAATTCAGGGACTTGATACGTTACAAAAAGTATTTCCTACACCTACAGCTACCTTCGCTCTATGCTGAAAATAAGATGTCTACAAGGGATTAGCAGCGAACTAACCTAGAAACTATCGCCAAGAAAATATGCAGAAGGAAATGGTGATGGATTGGAGATATGCTAAGCAGTAGTGACATCACGTAACAGGTGGAGCCTCAAATAAAACTCGAATAGGTAACGATAAATTAAACATGGGTCCAACGATATTCCTGGGGAAGCGAATAAAAGACTATAAGCATTTATGGAGCCAGCTGAAACAGACAGTAGAGAACAAAATGGAGCTGAGACATGCTGTTCTACTCGGAACCGAAGGGAATAAAAATATCCTCAAGAGTTAGTTTGAAAAGATTTGATTTGTTCCAAGGTTGATACCAGTTAGGGAACCACTGAAAACCAAGAAGTAATGGACAGTCGTTTCGTCCTAGTCTATTGAAACTCATCAACAGTGAAAGGGACCATGTCGGGTTTGAGGACAAACATTCACCTGTATTACTGGCTGGTGGTGTCGCTATAAATCGCAAAACGATAGAAGCTAGAAATCATGGGTTATTGAATTCCATGCCACTAGCTGAATCGTCGTTGGGCCCGCCTCATAACCTGAAGGTCCCGGGTTGGATCTTTGGTGGAATCGAGGATGCCTGCCATTGAAGAGTTCTAGACTACGACGAACATCTTTCCGGCCCTCCCTGGTTTATAGTGATCCTCTAAATGATAACAATTCATCTTCCGATTTATAATGGCACATTTATTTAACACAAAATAGCGCTTAGGTTAAGAATATCCAGTATTCAACTACACATGTCCCTCTGTATTTAGTGAATGTACAAAATGCACCAAAATCTTTATAGAATTATAAACACATAAAATAAGAACAATAGTTCCTTTCTCTCTCAATCCGTGGTTGAACATGAGACAAATCAAATCCCTACTAACTGTTGAGAATTAGTCTGATTTTCGCTAGTGACTGGCTGCAGGATGAAGTTGCTTGGAGTTCTAGTGAGAAGTTGGGATCACTGGAGTCCATCCAGTCGGGAGTCAGGACAATTACTCACCGGAGATGACAGCAGCTGCTTACCGCGCTAAGATCCCTAATCGGCAGAATTTGAAATTCATGGGCCATTGGATTGGGTCCCAGTGGCTGATGGTCTATAAGCTTCCCTTGTAAACGGAAGATCCTCCGTCCGAACGCCAGTGGGTTCCAAAAGAATAGGATGAAACAGATGTCCAACACTCCCTGGTTTTTCAGTGGTCGTTTAACTGATATCAATTTTTCGTCACACTTGGAGCAATAATATCCCAATATCGAATTTTAAACCACACCCGCCGCGTATGCAAAAGACGTGGAAAGTTAACCCTACTTTCCCATAGTCGACACACACGCACACATAAAAATACTCAAAATGAAACATGTAATTAATTTGATATACAATATTAATTACTCACATATTTAGGTACAAATAAATAAATAAATAAATATTCGATTATGGATTATATGTATACCGTAACAAAACAGTTTTTAATTACGATTAGAAATATTTGATATAAGCATGAATCTTCTAGTCAATGTCTCACTGAAGTAGGACTAGATTCTAGTGTAAGAAAGTGTATACGATTATTGAGGCGACAATTTTTGCAAAAACTCGTAGATACCGTTCATCATAGGCAATTAAAACTGCCTGATATTACCTCGTGAACCACACTTGGTGTGTAAGTGTGTGTATGTGCGTGAAGGCTTACCATACTGCCAAGCCACATACGTCAAGTATGAATCGAGTGTCACAGAGTCCTAGATAATTCGAAGGTTAAAAATAAGCAAGTTTCATAAGTACTAAGGTACTTCACAACATCTATACCTCTAAAAATAAACCGATAACAGTTAAGGTAACTAATATCTTCTCTCCTATCGATTTACTGCAATTCGTATGCTTTCGGAAGTGTGTGGGCCCACACTGCCAACACCGAAGAAGTTGATTGATTCTTCGGGTACCTAAAACAGAAAGAGGGTTAGTGTTGCATGACCGCAGAGCCCAGGGGACAACTGCTTGAGGCCAGTCACACACGGCCTGTATGAACTGGTTTCTTAGATTGGTTCTTTATTAGTAAATTTACCGCCGGTTACGGACCACCGTAGGGTAGGCCAGGATGTACAATTTTTGGGGTAGACCTTTTCTAACCCCGTACCTCCAGAGTTGAGAGACAGCATAGGTGGCATGCTGGTCATCTGAGGGAAACACCTTACTGCTGTTACATACCTGTTCCCCAGCAGTACGATTTCGCCCGCAGACCCCCAGCATAGTGTAAGAAAGTTCCTACACTATGCAGGTAAATGCTTTTAGTCTAATCGCTATCCTAACAACCTTCCTGGCAAGGTAGGACCTACAGGAACAATAGTTCCAGCCAGTATAGTTTGTTGGGTCACTGCGATATGCAAGACAGACCACCACATCAAGGTAGCAGCTATCGGTCAGTTTATTTGAAGAAATCCCTGGTTATGACCTCCTTCATCATGCCAGTCCATCGTCTCAGCGGCTGCAGTTGAATGGAATATTTCCATATTAAGTCATAAGAAAAAAGAGGTGAATAGGCAATTTGCACCTCTACTACAAAAGATACGTACATGATACTTTCATTATTTGTGATGAAAAAATTTGATCGATACTATCTCCGCAACACTTGCAACGCCACAACAACACACACTTCAACAAAATCTACCCTAAGTCGTGAATCACATGTGGCGTTTCCATTCCTGGATGTGCTACTTACTAGAAGTGCAAGACTATTCCATCCAAAGATCAATATACCACAAAGAAACATGGTAGGGCAGTTTATTGACTTCGATAGCTTCATCTCACTGATCTGAAAGCATAACTTACTGCACAACTAGTGTTTAAGCATTCCAAGATACAATACAGGCGGAATTAAAATCACTAAGTGGTATCCGACGTGCGTCGGTGACACAGCGGTAGAACGCTCGCTGATCACGCATTCGGTCCAGGGTTCAATCCCCTGCCGACGCACTCCTTTACCTCGCTAAGCCAGTAATAAGGCTGGTAAAGAGGAAAGGTTGAGCATGATGCTAGCAACCCCATCCCGTAAAAACTACACGCCTCCGCTACCGAAACTTCAAGTCCCTAGCTTGAAGCCGTGTGTTGCACTTGGAACGTAAAGGAATAAAAAGTGATATCCGACGGGAAAATGGATATCCACCCAGATCTGTTGACAAAAACATGAAAGAAAAACCTGTCGCGGAAAGTTGCAATTGTTTCTAAGAAAACTCTCTTCACATGAACCTAGAATTCAAAGATGACAACGAAGCAGAAATTCTTAGGAACGACTTTTCTAGATGTTCGAAGAAAACATTTCAGGCAACCACCACCTTACGAATTACATTCTCCAATAGACAGTTAATCCAGTCAAGCACATTGAGGATAAGATACTGTTTTTGGCCACTTTAATGTGTATTTGTGAGTTTATTTGTTCCTGTGGAGCAAAGTACACAACGTCAAGTCATTTTTTACTCATTCCGTCATTTCGAATTCTGACTTCTTTTTCCAATGTCCAATTAGTCATTCCCGCCTAGACTGCAACTCATATTACGTAATACATTTTCTAGAGCAAATTTGCCAGTATCTGACTGGTATTATGAATTCATTGTTCAATATATATAATACGACTGTACAACTCTTGAAAATGATTCATCGAGGAGAAAGTTCTCTTTTTCAGCTGTACTTCTTTGATCAGCTAATCAGCTTTGGCTCTTCAACCGATAGCGAAGGATGGATGTGAGAGGTTTAGCATTTGATTATCTGGAATCTATATCCAAGGGTAGATAGCAAGAGGTACTTCTCACCTTCAGTCTTGTACGCCAGTTACCTAGAGTACGGGGAACAATGACAGGTTCTCTGAACACAGGGCACAGTGGTTTATCGATAGTGGAAAACTTGATTACACTCAGCAATTTGGAACTACTCGTGTTTATTTCATCTGAACAAAATGTACAGCTTTTTTCAACACTACGTCGTCCAAATTTATCTGTTAAATCGAGCGACTGGCCTTATTCAGGCAGTTACCTGGGGTTCTAGTGGGAAGCTGTAATCAATAGGTAACGGCAGGTTGAACGCGAAGAAGACATTGCGAAGTGGTTGCGCTATGTCATAAATTGGTAGAAGTTAGAATCCATGGACTGGCCACTGGATCGGGTCCCAGTGGCTTAGTGGTCTACGAGCTAGCTCGCCTTGTAACCAGAAGGTCCTGGGTTCGAACTCCGGCGTGTGCGTGCTGTTGAAGAGTCTAAAACTAAGACGAAACAGCTGTCCAGTACTCCCTGGTGGTTTTCCAATGGTTCTCTAACTGATGTCAGCTCGTGATGAAATCCTCCGACCAAAAAAATGTAGTAAAACGCGCATGGGGCTCGTGATATGCGCTTATTAACAACTCGGCTGCAGAATCCACTGTAGCAACATGCTACTCAAAACCGAAACAGCAGTCTGACAGTATGATTCCCCAGTGAATAGGAACACTATTATTAGATGAAAAAAACAAAAGAGTAGGGGCTTTCGACCAGTAAATAATGAAAGATTCCTCTTCATGGCATCGTATGAAGATATCCAATTGCAACGGTTAATGCAGGTGCTTCATTTCAATCTGAAAATATTGTCTTTACAGTGTGGTAGAACGCCCACCAGGCCCGAGTTCGATCCCCAGCTGATTCATTCCTAAACACCACTTAGCCTATAACAAGCCCAGAAAGGAGGGAAAATTGGGCATGAAGTCAGCAGTCCCACCACCACAGCTCAAAGCCAAGTGCTTGTGTCAACGAGCTACATCTCCATACGTATTCACGTATAACCTCGTGACTGAAAGACATTAACCAATCGAAAGCTTAAATCAATAGAACCAATGACTCTAAGGCATAATACAATGTACTAAGTAAAATTTACGCATGAGCCAAGTGTCTGGACCAACATGGAAGCACTTGCTTGATATCAGTATTGAGAATTCGGATCATGTTCATTGAGTTGTGTTCTGTAGATATCTAAGCCGATTTTAGAGTAATGAAAGCCTATCTTCTTTTCCTGATCCTGGCTGGCCTTCACATCCACATCCGTGCCGTCTGACTGTAGTTGAAACGATGCGGCCCAGGTTAGGAAGGTGAAAGAGACAGCTGACCCTCGAAATCTGGATCTTCTAGAGTCTTTTTGTCAATCCAACTCCGCACAGCTTGTCGCATGATCCAATTTATACACAACCAGGAAGATCATGGGTAACAACGGCAGACAGCCTCATCTTACTCGCGTTTTCACTTTGAACGCGTTTTGGTGGGCTTTGCGTCGTGAGTCACTTGACAAGAGGCATTAAAATACAGCTATTGAATGGGGGTTAATAACTGTTTACGATTCTCTGTAATGTTGTGACAAAGTAAACAGTAGCATAAAACATGTGACTACAAAATACAAACAAACGATCAAAACAGAAAATATCATTTTTACCTCGAAGATATTTGTCCAGTGAAAGCAGGACAGGAACTTCAGCCTCCGATGCGATAAGCCATTCAAATTTACTTGGCTTCAATGGAGGATGACGCAGTAGTTGACTTCGTCTTTCAGTAGATTGTAAACATTCTAAAATCTTGCAAGAAATCGATTCTTCACTGTCAGTTTGTTGTTGATCAGAAGAAGGAGAATATGTTGGATTGAACTGAGATAACTCCGATACAAAGGCGATCAAAGCTGAAACGTCTAAATTGATTCGTTTTAATTCATCTATACTGGAAAGAAAGAGGAAATAAGGCTGCATAAACAACACATGTCAGTAAGCAAACTACATTTTTTTTTAAAACGGGCGTCTGTTAACCACTAAGAAGCAAGGACTTGGATACAATACTTTGTTTTAGTTAGATAGTCGGATCCCTTTGGTCCGTGAGAATTCTAAGTTAACCATTGCAGGCCAGAGACTGGAAGTACAGCCGACTGACACAAGGCAGGGCAAGTCCACGCGCGTTGCTAGACAAACAACAGTAACAGCTGAAACAGCCCACAACCGATCACGGTCAGATTCCAGTAACTCCACAACAATGTGCACCAAAGCACACAAAGAAGCAAAGAAACCAGCCTCCAACGGGGGTGACACGTATCTTATCTCAACCTGTCTAATTCGGCCCCCATCGACAAACCTTCCCTAAAAGTTAAGGATCCAGTTTGCCAACTTCAATTGCCAGGGACTGTTCAACTACAAGACCTGCCGTGGATATGGGTACGACTGGTACGAAAGTTATACTTCCTAGCTCGGATTTTCAAGGGTCGACGACAACATTCTGGACACTGCAAGAAAAGTGATGCATTACGTAGGTTACCTCCCTATCTCCTAATAAGCCGATTCCAGAGACATGGCTACACTCCCAACAAAGAAGACAGGACTCTTCCTACAACTCCTGCCAATGTCTCGGGTTACGTTACTGTCCTGGGCATACATCGGATCGAAGATCCAACAAACACTGAAAATACTCCCACTTCCCATGGAAATGTCTTGTCAATTATATAAACAATCACATAACACACAAAAATGAAAGATCTCGACCACCAAACATGAGCAGATCCGGGTACTGATTGCTATTCAAAGAGATCAGTTTGGACAGGGACAGTCAAGATCTGAATAACTTACACTGAGGGGTGGGACTTACTCCTGAACCTTAGGTAACCAATGGTAGTCAGCTAGGAAAAGAAGGACGGCTGAACATGAAGCTAGCAACCCTATCCCGTAAGAAAACACCAGCACCGCTACTGGGACTTCAAAACTTGAAGCCCAGCGTTCCACTCGGAATGCAAGGATGCAGATTCAAGTCGAGGATGGAATATAAATCCTCTTATTTATGATGTTAGGTATAGAGATTCTTCCCTATGATTATTAGCGTCTAACAATGAGGACACTGCCAATACGCAAAATACTACGGCCCTATCATCGTTCATGTAAATAGTTCTACGAACGATATGAATAAGGAATAAAAAAGGTAACAGAGTATCCATAATCAAAATTTTATCAGTGTAGGTCAAAATATTTACGGGTCATGATCAGCGGTGGGAAAATAAGGTGAGAAAATAAAAACGGTGAAAATATTAAGTAAGATCAATGAAATTACAGTTCATTAAGGATGCTTAAATTATAATAATAATAATAATAATAATAATAAGGATATAATAGCAGATAGAATATCAACTAAAATTAGGGAAATTTCTACAACAAATTAAGGATCATTAAAACGTTGATGGCCAGGTGGGCAAGGAAAGTGTCTGAACCAACTTCTTTTGGATAGATAAGCTCCCAAAATGGATGTTTGTGCATCCTAAGCGTTTCAAGGATGGTCACTAAAAAGCCCGATCACTAAACATAGTCTCAGAACAGCATTCAATAGAACTTACACATAAACTCATTTTCATAGAAAAAACCAACTAATAAAATTTATCTTGGGAACAGGTTTCCAAAATCACCTATCGCAGAACACATCATTGAGACAGGTTACAAAAGTGACTTTAATAATGCCTTTACACCCATACATAAAACAGGTTTGAGTAACATGCTTAAGTTCATTGGGGCCTCAGTCATAAAAATGCTTAAACGTCTTTCATACTTTCAAATATTATTTGTTATTACACATTGGACTTGCCTTGGTAATCCAATTTTAGAAGCAAGGTTTATTTTATATTATTAATAATTTATTATTATTGTTTCTTTTGGCGTCGGTGGCATAGCGGTTAGGACGCTCGCCGACCATGCACATGGTCCGGGGTTCGATCCCCGGCCGACACACTCCTTTACCTCGTTAAGCCAAAAACAATGCTGATGGAGAGGAAAGGTTGGGCATTAGGCCAGCAATCCCATCCTGTAAAATAAACACTGGTACAGAAACTTCAAGCCACTAGCTTGAAGCCCTATGTTCCACTGGGGAACGTGAAGGAAAAAAATAAATATAAATAAAATAGTTTCTTTTGGTTCCTAGAGGAACATGAGGCTTCAGCTGCACGTCTCCATTGCGTTCGGTTCTCCGTCAACGTTTTCACCTAGCTCCACATTTGCCCACATGCTTTCATCTCCTCTTCACATGATCTCCTCCATATCACACTCGTAATGACGACCAACTCGCCACCTCCCGTTCGGGTTCCACTCGAGCTATAGTCTAGCGTGTGATGTCACTTGATGATGGATTGTTTTCTCAGAGTATGTATAATGCACTTCCATTTCTTCCTCCATATTTATCGCACAATCGGTTCCTGCTGGGTTGGTTGGTTCGCTCATTGCCAGAGATCCCTCCCTATCGCTGATCTTTTCTGGCCATTCCTCTGATCTTGAATCGTAATGAGGGAAGACAGCTGCTGATGAAGGTGTGTAGTTTGTCCAAAGTGCCCTTCGTGACGCGGCGCCAAGTCTCTGATCCGTGTATATTAGCACTGACTTCATATTGGAGTTGAAAATCAGGATCTCATTTTTCATGCTGAATGCTGTTAATCTCCACACCGACTTGAGAGTAATGAAAGTTTGATTAGCTTTCCTAATCCTCACTTTGATATCCTCATCAGTTGCGCCTGCAGTTGAAACAATAAGAAGGGTTCTCCGTTTTCATTCACCTCTCCAAGAAGTGCTTCTCTACCCATAATGAGTTCTCTTCCTGTCTTGTCTGATCGCAGTCTGGCGTTCATGTCGCCCATTAGGATTTTAATGTCACCGACTGGAGTATCTATCGTTCATTGTTGCCTGTATTATTAATTTCATAGTCCTTATTTTGTTAGCTGTCATTTGCCTACCTCTTATATGTGCCATCATGAGCCGTAGACATTTTGAACCATATCGACTAAATTTTGAACCCTTTATACTTAGTTACCTTTTATATGCATAAACATATATGACAAGTACGAAAAATATTATGCAAATATACATGTAACAACAGAAGACAACGGTCAGGCAACAAATCGTTTATTAAGGAAAATCAACACATATTTATAGATTTTAATGCACATTATTGTAGATTATTGTTTGTAGATCGGTTGTTTCTCACAGAAAGTTAACCTTGCATCTCTTTGTGGCTGTGTCAGATCATCCATATGCTGACTGTATCCGCCTACGCAAAGCCTTTGTTCTCATTTTCTCACCACCAATATTGGGAACATAAACATTGACGTCAATTACTGTCTACCAACTTTGGCCAGCAGCCAGTTCACACCACACGTTTCATACAAAATGTATTACATCTTCCTGTTGTGTTGTACAAATTCATAAGCAGAATTAATTTTTTTTACTAACGGCTTTATTCGAAACAGTATGCGGAATTTTTAGCGTGTACTGCATCTAATTTCCTCTTCACAGTTACATAGTACGGGTGAAAATCCTTACCAGGATATTTACACTGATTATAATGTCCGTAGGAATATGAATGCAAGAATAAAAGTTAAGTAGAAACAGTGACAACAATATTATTAATATACAGAGAGAAAACAGTCCTTCAGACATCTAGCAAGAAAAACAAAATAATTGAGCAAAGGATTTCCTTTTCGAGAATTTCCTCTTCTGGCTCTACAATCATATATATGTTTATATACATAGAATATTCTAGAATAGTAGTCAATAACAATATTGATGTTTTTTTAAATAATATTGATTTGTTAAGTAAGATCAATGAAATTACAGTTCAGGAAGGACGCTTATGTTATGATTAGCATAAAAATATAATAGTGAATAGAATATCAACTAAAATTAAGGAAATGTCTACAAAAAATTGAAGACCGTTAGAACCTAAGTGGCTAAGGTAAGGACAATGTCTAAACCAGCTTCGTCTTTTGGACACATAAATCAGGCTTTTTAATGTGGATCCCGACGACCTCAGCAATATGTAGTAGACGAACTCTTAAGGCGAAGTTAAGGTTTGTTGGTATGCGGTAAATGACTTTGAAATCCACTTCGTTAACATCATTCTTGTATTCTGTATCCATAAGATGAGATAGAATAGAACTATGAATGGATATTGTATATCGCTTACTTAACCACGCGAGATGATGTTCAGAAATCTGACGACAAACTCACCTAATTGTACGATTATCTATGAGCAGTTAAATCGGTAGATACACATACAAGAGGCGAAATTAGGCAGTTTATCTTCTGCTCTTGAAAGCAAAATAGGAGTGGTTTTCAGGAGACAGTGTAATTCAGCAGCAGCAAATGCTCTTCGTTTCGCCGCATTCCTACTGTGTTGTGTTAATATCTCGCTGATGTTATCCCCGAGGAAATGAATTTGTAAGAATAAGGCCTTCCTTTTTCGGAACTGTTGGTACCTTTGGCTGCCTTTGCTTTTGACTCATATTCTTATCAATGAATTTTTCTAGACATCCGTTTTCACTCAGTCGCCATTTAATACTTTGATTGGACACTAGTAACTAGTGTGATGTGTCTAGTCCTTTGTTTGGTGCAGACTGAATTCTATCAGTCAGGTTTTTCGAATGGCTCAGTGGTAACGTCTCTGACTGGGTAGCACTGGGTAACGCGGGTTCGAATCTCATAAGGGACATGAGCTCCTTCAAGGTTGCAGATACGCCTTGCTGACTGGTGAGTGCCAACTAGCACGAAACCTAGGTCCAAGGTTTCCTGCCGATCACCTCCAACTATCCAATACTATTTAATACTATTAAGTTCGTCATTAAGACACTCATCAAAGCCGATTGCTCTTGCTCTATAGACCAAGCACTTTATCAGAATGCGTTTGTATTTCAGGGGCGCGAAGCTTAA